TGGCCCATTTTGGATTGGGATCAAGTTGATTTCCCTTCTTCAAGTAGAGAACATAAACGGCTTTTAGTAGAACGAGCGATTGTAAATGATTTGTACATCGATTCATATGCCAGGCTTAAGGCAAAACCGATCCTTTTTGTAAGAGTTTGCAGTCCTGGTGTGAGCGCTGCTTAAATGTTTACAGGCTAATGAAAGCGCTCTTTTATTTAACTAATAACATATATATCATATGCTGCAAACTAATGCTTGACCTTTTCTTATTACAGGCGATCGCCAGCTAATGCAGTCACTTGTCTTTGATGCACGTGTCACCAAATGGTTCTCCAACAATACCAGTTTTAATGCGCGCGAAAAGGATGAGAAGAGGTAAGTGGCCGGTGCGAATGGAGCAACTGTTTGCAGTGCCAGGGCTTGACTTGTTTCACACATCAAGTACAGTCAACGCCATGCCAGGCATAATTATATAACTCAATATCCCAACCAGTGGCAGCACATATTAACCATTATAATTTGTGTGTACGCCTTTCTTTTTTCTCACTTTTATTTGCATTTAATGGGCGAACTTTTGCGTATCGTTGTTGTTGTTTGTCTATTTCATAATGAATTTTTGCACCCACAAATGAATACTGCAATCTATGAACTCTTGAACCACATAACATAATGCCTTTCATATTGTCTAAATCGAAATACAATACAAATACCCTCTCTAGCGTAAGCGCATCAAGCCCAATAGCCGTACTAATGGGTTTGCTGCCAAGGTAAACAGAAAAACTCGTCTTTACTTACTATATAATATATCATACTATATATATTATATTGTTTTCTTGTCATCGATCATCTATCGGTACATATCTAATATATCGATTTCTGTTCCAACAGACACGAATTCAAGCAGCGATTTGGCATCACCGTCGCCTTTCTGGCCACGCACAGTGGGCTAACACGCTGGCATGAGTTTCATTCGAATATGGCCGAGCAGCCGGGCGTGGGGTAAATCACCAACACGTTACAGTAGTCACTCTTGATAAACAACACTACCATTTCAGTGAGAGCTTTAGTCAGAATAACAAGCGCGCCATCGATGAGATCTGGTACAAACGCGCAGTGGATCAATATTTTGTGCAAAAGGAGAGCTTCGTCTACTCCGTGCCTTTCGATGCTGGCGGTAAGTCTGGCATCATCATTTGGAGAATCTGTAGTTAACTGTTCTCTATTACACTTGCAGAGAGTGGTTCAGAAATTATTGTTACTGCCAGTAACGCCATCTTTCACAATGAGAGCTCCAAATCTGCGCCCGCTGCTGTCGTTGGATTCCAATTTCAACACTCGGCCTTCTATAAGCTCTTTCATAATATCACCGGCAATGTAAGTGCTCTTTAATCCTCTTAAGATATTCATAAAGATGAACTAAGCAATCCCTTATAGGCCTGTGCTGTGGATGATAAGGACTGCTATATACTGGACAACAATGGATTTGTGATCATCTCTTCACGCGTGCACGAAACTGGCAGATTTTTCGGTGAGGTCAATGGCGCCATCATGATGCGCCTGGTGGAGGAAAGAGTATACAAGCGCGTCATTGTGTATGACTATCAAGCCGTGTGCTTCGAGTCGAAAACAGAAGTTAACGCTTCCAATACGCTGCTTTCTGTAAGTAGACATACATAGTAAAACTATTGAAAAATCTCACAGGCTTATCAAAACAGTTACGTGCCGTTAATACCTTTAAACACTTTACCAACACTGCCAATCAGTGCGCCCAAACATTTGATGGCATATAAGATGGCAACTCTATGTTTCAAATCAGCTTCTCCATCTATGAATAACTTAGGCTGTTTCAATTTTCTTCATTGCCTGATTATAAGACTTATACAAAGATTTTCTAAAAAATTTAAAATTTAATTGGAATACAATTTTAAGATTTAGAGAATATACTCTACAGCATTTCTAATAACAGTTCCGTACATTAAAAAATTAAATTTTTGAATATTAAAAAATTATTGCAAGCTTTATAAAATGAATAGGAAAATATTTTCATCAGCAAAATATTAAAAACCTTAATAGTTTTACAATAATATGACTAAAATTTAACAGCATTTTTTTATTCTAAGAATCTACTTTAAAAAATATTTTAAATTCGATTAAAAAAATATGAATTTCTTCTTTTCCGGTGTGTAGACAATGAAATCGTTATTTTCAATAAACATGCATTAACTATAACGTATTACATGTGTTAAATTTCTCTCATTGTTGTTCTCTTTTTATAGCCGCTGTTCCATCTGCTACGCGTGGGCAAATGGCTGCTGCATACGGCGCTGTGGTATATTGTACAACTGATGCGACTGGCGCCCGGCGTAACGGCCCATTACAATGATGTGTATATGGATGTGAATGGCACAGAACCGGAGCCGGAGCCAGATGATAACAGTCGGGCAAAGAATACAGCCTGGCTGCGCTACCTGACGCTGCATCGCACGCGTCTCAAGTCGTGCGACATGCAGCGCGAGTTGTATATGCTGTACAATGAGAAGGACAACGTTGTCTACAATATGACAGCGCATGCATGCGAGCGGCCATTTGTGGTGCTGCCCATACCGAACAGTAATTTGATACTGTTGGTCATCGATCAGCTGTGTCCGCGCGATGTCGCCTACGTGCTGACTGTCAATCCCAAGCCGATACACTATCCGCTGGCGCCCAACGAGACCTTCTCCTGCTACAAGCACGCACGTGAATTCAATCGAGTGCGTCCACAGAGCTGCATCAGTCGCCATGCGAATGTAAGTCACATACACTCATTCACTCTCTCTCTCATTCTCGTTCTCTCTGCTAATAATTCGCTCTCTTTGGTCTAACGCAGGAGAGCGCAATCAAGTTGTGTGGCAAGGGCTGCGCCTTCTATGCGAATCTCACGCTACTGCTGCTCAGCCACGTGCTGAGCCGCTTGCTTTAACGGCGGTCGCAATACATTTAGTCTAATCGTAGGCAATCTATATTGATAATGTTTTTTGTATTATATGATAGTTGAAAAGGGATAGGGGAACTACAATTTTTTACTATACTCTTAAACGCTTGAGCGCTGTTCATTTTTTCCACAATTTTTCAACTTAGTTTTAAGGCAAAGGTAGCTACCAAATTTGTTTACAATGCGTGTGTTAAGTTTTATGTTAACTATGAAAATGTAACAGTGTGTGCTGCCTATGATGGACGAGTCACTGCGCTTTATTGTGGACCTTCCAATAGACAAAACCAAATATGTATGTATATGTATTTATTATACTAATTAACTAAAAATTCCAACAACGGCCTTAAACAACTCGCAAATATAAAACAAAAAAAATATATGAAGCAAAAATAAATAAATAAATAACATTTTGTAAATGCCGCTCGCTGTTAAATAGGCAAAAAAAAAAAGCGCACACTGTTCCATATAAACTACTGCCCATGTTAAGTGTGTGTTTGTGTGTGTGTGTGTGTGAGTGTGTAAATGTAAGTGTATGCATGTGTGTGTTTGCGTGTCAAATGTGTTAAAGCCTAATTTAAGATCGCCACGTTTGTAAGTAACACTTAGCTAATTATTATGTTAAAGTACGGAACAAAAATAACTATAAATAAAGCAAAAATAATGAACCATTTAAATATACATAAATAAATATACGCCAGGTACATGCTATACGTTTAAGTAGCTTTTGTATATTTGCTTAGCTTAGCCCAAAACAACAACTACAAAAATATAAATTAAAAGAGAAAACAATACTAAAACCAAAGGCCATTTAAGAGTTCGGCTTTACGAAGCATTAAATACTTTTATAAACATTCGTTATAGCTATAGCGTAAAATGAAAAAAAAAACCACATAGAGTATGAGTAATAAAAAAAGAAACCTTATTCTTTGTTTTTATATAAAGCATATATACAAAAGTAATAATAATAGTTATGATAATACTGATTGATACCTAATATAACCCACAAGTACCTATTATAACAACTTTTTATTACATACTACTAAATACTTGATACGAGCTACGAGCCACAGAACTGAGCAGAAGCAGCAGCGTCTAGTAAATTAAGATTTAAATGAGAAAAATTAAAAGCGAACAAAAAAATTAAAACTAAATTTGAACTTGACTAGTTGAAATTTATAGAATAATCTGGAACAATTCATAACCAACATTTTCAACATTTAGGCAAGCTCCAAATTCGAATTTTACGCTTATTGAAAATCTCACACATTCTGATGCCATTTTCACAATCAAAGCTTGAGACCCTACCCCCATTTTTGTAGTACCCGTGTACCTACCCTTGTGCCATTCGATTGTTTAGAGTTTGTTATTTACCATTTAATATTTACACTTCTCTCTGTTACTTATTTAATGCCATTCCTAACCCACTAAATATAATGGTCCCACTCCAGTAGTTAAATGAGATCTTTTTAATTCGCCCAATCTATAATACAACACTAAAGAGATATTATAAAATGTAGATAAGCCGCGAGGCCTCTTTAGATCGTAACATAAAGAGTCGTTTCATAAAAAGAAAACAACTAAAAGAAAATAAATTAAATAAACAAGACTGTTTCCATTTGCGCAGTTTTCTCTAAACGGAAACGGAACCGAAACTGGAAACAGCACTGAATAAAACAAATTTTGACCGAAACGAGAGATAAAAACTTCCTTTAAAACACTCACTAACCACTGCAGTTTGTAATAAACTTAATTTAAAAGCAACAACACTGAATACATAGAAATTTATGTATAAATTAAGCATATATTAATAATTAAATAAATGAACAAATTTGTCAAAAGTGCTAAAAACCATAAATATATGCCTTTTATTTGTCGGGCAAATAATTACTGCAGGGGCTACGTTATGAGTTATACCCAAACCACAATCCTCAACCGCAAAGCCAGATAAGGCGGCTCAAACTAAGGACTAATATGAACTAGTTCATTTTGTCAGGATCGTTTCTATATAAGAACAACAGCTGAACTTCTCTGTTGCAGTTGCTCTTGGAATCCCAACTGAGACGCATTGTTTTAAAGATCAACTAAATAATTTATTTAAAAACAAAAAAAAAAACAATGCGTTCCGCGGGTCCCTCAGCCTTTGTGGCTGTGATTCTTATGCACAGTAAGTCTTTAAGTGAGCTATAGATATGGAAAAGTTACAACAATAGCAGTTTTATTGTTTTAAATTTTTAATAAAACTATACAAAAAGTGTATTTGATACAAATATATTGAATTGAATTGATTTAATAATTAAATGAAGATTAAGAATATATAAAATATAACTGAGAACCTCCCAATTTAGTTGGAGATTATTTTATAAATTTGTTCATTGACTTAACTAAAACATTTTAACAGTATTGGCTCAAAAATTTAATGTTAATTTTCTTTATTTAATTTCCTAATGAAATTGTCATTGTATTGTATTTATAATTGAAGGCTTTCTCGTTTCCGCAACGATTCCTGAGGAAGTAGCAGGGATCAAATGCAAGCTTCACCCTACAAACTTGTGCGACACTCTGAGGTAAGACAACTTAAAATTTTGTAAAAAACTTTTTTAATATCTCGGGTAATAGCTCCGCGTGGAGGTATGACGTTCCAAAACGACATAACTCCCCGCGGAGATATGACGTTCCAAAACGACATAACTTCCCGCGGAGATAAGACGTTCCAAAACGACATAACTCCCCGCGGAGATATGACGTTCCAAAACGACATAACTCCGCCGAAAATAGTGTCCGATTTTGGAATTTTATACAATTTTTGACTCGTAAGGATCAGTTCTATCGCTTGGCATCAAAAACAAGGAAATCCAAAATTTTGACCCAAATCGCCAAAATGGCAAATCACTTTTTTTTCAACATCGAGGTCGGTGCGAAAATCGATACTATTTTTAATATCTCGGGTAATAGCTCCGCGCGAAGTATGACGTCTGAAAACGACATAACACCCCGCGGAGATATGACGTTCCAAAACGACATAACTTCCCGCGGAGATATGACGTTCCAAAACGAAATAACTCCCCGCGGAGATATGACGTTCCAAAACGACATAACTCCGCGCGGAGGTATGACGTTCCAAAACGACATAACTCCCCGCGGAGATATGACGTTCCAAAACGACATAACTCCCCGCGGAGATATGACGTTCCAAAACGACATAACTCCCCGCGGAGATATGACGTTCCAAAACGACATAACTCCGACGAAAATAATGTCCGATTTTGGAATTTTATACAATTTTTGACTCGTAAGATCAGTTCTATCGATTGGCATCACAAACAAGGAAATTCAAAATTTTGGGTTAAATCGCAAAATTTGGCAATCGGTTACCTCACGTTTTTTTTTTTTTAAATAGAGGTCGGTGCGAAAATCGAAACTTTCTTACTATCTCGGGTAATAGCTCCGCGCGGAGGGATGACGTTCCAAAACGACATAGCTCCGCGCGGAGGTATGGCGTTCCAAAATGACATAACTCCCCGCGGAGATATGACGTTCCAAAACGACATAACTCCCCGCGGAGATATGACGTTCCAAAACGACATAACTTCCCGCGGAGATATGACGTTCCAAAACGACATAACTCCCCGCGGAGATATGACGTTCCAAAACGACATAACTCCGCCGAAAATAATGTCCGATTTTGGAATTTTATACAATTTTTGACTCGTAAGGATCAGTTCTATCGATTGGCATCAAAAACAAAGAAATCCAAAATTTTGACCCAAATCGCCAAAATGGCAAGGGGTTACATCACGTTATTTTTTTGTAATAGAGGTCGATGCGAAAATCGAAACTTTTTTATTATCTCGGATAATAGCTCCGCGCGGAGGGTTGACGTTCCAAAACGACATAACTCCCCGCGGAGATATGACGTTCCAGAACGACATAACTCCCCGCGGAGAAATGACGTTCCAAAACGACATAACTCCGCCGAAAATAGTGTCCGATTTTGGAATTTTATACAATTTTTGACTCGTAAGGATCAGTTCTATCGATTGGCATCAAAAACAAGGAAATCCAAAATTTTGACCCAAATCGCCAAAATGGCAAATCACTTTTTTTTCAACATCGAGGTCGGTGCGAAAATCGATACTTTTTTTAATATCTCGGGTAATAGCTCCGCGCGGAGGTATGACGTTCCAAAACGACATAACTTCCCGCGGAGATATGACGTTCCAAAACGACATAACTCCCCGCGGAGATATGACGTTCCAAAACGACATAACTCCGCCGAAAATAGTGTCCGATTTTGGAATTTTATACAATGTTTGACTCGTAAGGATCAGTTCTATCGATTGGAATCAAAAACAAGGAAATCCAAAATTTTGACCCAAATCGCCAAAATGGCAAATCACTTTTTTTTCAACATCGAGGTCGGTGCGAAAATCGTTACTTTTTTGAATATCTCGGGTAATAGCTCCGCGCGGAGGTATGACGTTCCAAAACGACATAACTTCCCGCGGAGGTATGACGTTCCAAAACGACATAACTTCCCGCGGAGATATGACGTTCCAAAACGACATAACTCCCCGCGGAGATATGACGTTCCAGAACGACATAACTCCCCGCGGAGAAATGACGTTCCAAAACGACATAACTCCGCCGAAAATAGTGTCCGATTTTGGAATTTTATACAATTTTTGACTCGTAAGGATCAGTTCTATCGATTGGCATCAAAAACAAGGAAATCCAAAATTTTGACCCAAATCGCCAAAATGGCAAGGGGTTACATCACGTTTTTTTTTTGTAATAGAGGTCGATGCGAAAATCGAAACTTTTTTATTATCTCGGATAATAGCTCCGCGCGGAGGTATGACGTTCCAAAACGACATAACTCCGCGCGGAGGTATGACGTTCCAAAACGACATAACTCCCCGCGGAGATATGACGTTCCAAAACGACATAACTTCCCGCGGAGATATGACGTTCCAAAACGACATAGCTCCCGCGGAGATATGACGCTCCAAAACGACATAACTCCCCGCGAAGATATGACGTTCCAAAACGACATAACTCCGCCGAAAATAGTGTCCGATTTTGGAATTTTATACAATTTTTGACTCGTAAATATCAGTTTTATCGATTGGCATCAAAAACAAGGAAATCGAAAATTTTGACCCAAATCGCCAAAATGGCAAATCACTTTTTTTTCAACATCGAGGTCGGTGCGAAAATCGATACTTTTTTTAATATCTCGGGTAATAGCTCCGCGCGGAGGTATGACGTTCCAAAACGACATAACTTCCCGCGGAGATATGACGTTCCAAAACGACATAACTCCCCGCGGAGATATGACGTTCCAAAACGACATAACTCCGCGAAAAATAGTGTCCGATTTTGGAATTTTATACAATGTTTGAATCGTAAGGATCAGTTCTATCGATTGGCATCAAAAACAAGGAAATCCAAAATTTTGACCCAAATCGCCAAAATGGCAAATCAATTTTTTTTCAACATCGAGGTCGGTGCGAAAATCGATACTTTTTTTAATATCTCGGGTAATAGCTCCGCGCGGAGGTATGACGTTCCAAAACGACATAACTTCCCGCGGAGGTATGACGTTCCAAAACGACATAACTCCCCGCGGAGACGTTCCAAAACGACATAACTTCCCGCGGAGATATGACGTTCCAAATCGACATAACTCCGCGCGGAGGTATGACGTTCCAAAACGACATAACTCCGCGCGGAGGTATGACGTTCCAAAACGACATAACTCCCCGCGGAGATGTGACGTTCCAAAACGACATAACTTCCCGCGGAGATATGACGTTCCAAAACGACATAACGCCGCGAAAAATAGTGTCCGATTTTGGAATTTTATAAAATTTTTGACTCGTAAGGATCAGTTCTATCGATTGGCATCAAAAACAGGGGAAATCCAAAATTTTGACCCAAATCACCAAAATAGCAAATCACTTTGTTTTCAACATCGAGGTCGGTGTGAAAATCGAAACAGTATTTATTTCAAGTTTCAAATCACATAAATTTATATTTGTGTAAATTTGGACTTCATCTAAACTTAAAACCTATTAGTAAGGATTAATATGCATCAAATTGTTTTTTTTTTTATATGCCTGTAGAGGGTATTATAATTGCGTCACGAAATGTGTATCGCATAGAGAGAGCATTCTCCAATCTCATAATTTACATATGCATCACACATGCTCACTTGCAATAGGGAAATGCACACAAAGGTATATAATATTCGGCGTCGAATTTATCGTTACTTTCTCGTTTCAATATAAAAATAGTCAAAGTCCTGATTTGATTGTATTCGTAATAATGGTAAATATCAATAGAATTTCTGCAGTGTTTTTTTTCTATTTCATTCACCGCAACGTCGATTAATCGTAAGTTAATTTAAATTTTATTTATTCTGCGGCGGTTTACAGTAATTATGTGGTTGGACCCACATTTTGTTGCATTTTATTAATAACAAGCACCTACTCATTGGGATTAATAATAGGGCCAGAGCACATTAAAACACACATTTATAGCAGCTAATCGAAGCAATTGCAAAATTGAAAAATAAAATGATTTCATACTTAACTGAATTCTATATTATATTATAGAATTCAGCCCGATCAGCTAACCTGCACCACCTGCAACCTGCTCATGCTGGCTTATAAGAAAGAGTTTGACTCCACCACCCGGGCGGACATGATTGAAAAACTGCTGCACACCTGCTACAGCCTTCACAGCCTGTCGGACACCTGCGCCAACATTGTCTCCAACTACTTTGATGACTTCTATGAGCTGGCAAAGCAGCATCTTCAGTCGAACGACATTTGCCAAGTCGTAAGCATGTGTGCGAATGCCGAGAGTACACCAGAGGCGTTGGCTCCTCCAGCGATCAAAAGCGATCAGTTCTACTGTGGCCAGTGCAAGCAATTGGTGCAACATTTGCGTGAATCCCTGTTGCACAATACAACTGAGGCGCAGTTTAGGCAAAAGCTGGATGGTTACTGCAAAAAAACGCGCGGCTTCAAGAACGAGTGTCTGACGGTTGTAGATCAGTTCTATCATATTATCTACAGTATCTTGAAAAGTAAACTGGATGCCGATAGCGTTTGCTCGTTCATCAATGTCTGCCACGAGCATAAGAAACTGCAGGAGGAAACAGAAAGTCTGCAACTAATTGACACCAACGACGAATTGGAATCCAGTATTGAGCCGCAACTACCCCAGTGTTTCGCATGCAAAAGTGCTTTTAGGATTGTCAAGAAACTGATTCGTTCCAACATCAGCAATGAGAAGCTCAAGAACGCCATGAATCAAGCCTGCAACAAGGTGGGAAAACTGTCAAACAAATGTCACGGAGTGATCGACAGGCACGGAGATCAAATGGCACGCTTTGCAAGGAATCCCAGAGTAATATGCGCCCTGATAGGCATGTGTTTTCCTATTGGACAACAAGATATCCAACTAGCACCAGTCGAATTGGAAGTCGAGCTTTTAGTTGGCGATGCCAATAAGAGCGAGCAGCTGCAATTGACCGCTGATATTGAGGACAAGCAATCGATTAATTGTCAGCTCTGCAAAAAGGTGTTCAAGACTCTGCATAAAATGGTTGAGCATCATCAGGATATCAAACTGGCCATGGATCGCGTGTGTCACGTGCTAAAGGAACAGAATCTGATGAATGAATGCCAGAATATTATAAAGCAGCACGCCGATATGATCATTGATCTAATAAAAAAGAATGTGCCACGCCAGCAAATATGCAGAGCCCTTAACAAGTGCCTCATATACGAGACAGAGGACCGTAAGTCTGCGCACTCATATTCAACTGATAAACTGATTAACTGCATTTGTAAGCTATTTTTTCTCTTTGCCAGTTTTTGATATTCAAGAGCAACTAGACGATCATTACCAGCTCGAAATCGACGATGAGCAGCATGATCTGTTCGCACTCGAAGAACCTTTAACAGCCGTTGAACTTATATCCAAAGGCTCGCCCAAATGTGCTGTTTGCAAGACGGCAATTAAGGCCTTGCAGCATATGGTGCATCACCATGAGGACAAGGGTGAAATCACAAAGGCTTTGGGCCATGTTTGTCACAGGATGGGAAAACTGCAACATGCCTGCGAAAGTGTGGTCAACAATCATGGCGCTCAGATAGTCGATCTTATGACGAAGCATATGTCAGCTGAATTAATCTGCAAGGCGATCCACGTGTGCCACTTCTCGGCAACCGAAGAGGATTGTAAGTAACTAGAAAGTAAGCTCCGAAGACTAATTTACACACTCTTTTCCGCGAATAACTAGATGTAATTGATGAGACAGTGGAAGAGGAAGAGGTGATTCCGTCAGAGCTGGAGGAACCCCAGCTAGCTACTAATGTTGGCTTTAAAGGATCGCCCAAATGCGCCCTCTGCAGAGCTACGATGAAAGCTTTGCAACATATAATACGCAAAGGTGGAGATAGTGGTAGTATTGAGAAAGCTTTACAGAAAGTCTGCCATACGATGGGAAAACTCAAGGGCAGATGCACGAAAATGGTGCAAAAACACGGCCATAAAATTGTTGATCTAATGACAAAGAAGACGGCGGGCCACAAGATATGCACGTTGATTGGCATGTGCCATAAGTCTGTCTCAGTAGAAGATTGTAAGTATTAAATAATGCGACCCACAAAACTATATTAATCAGTCCCTGTTTCATCTTTAGTGGAAGCTGACAATGAGGAACAGATAGAATACTTCGAGAATTGTTAGTATCAAATATAATCAAACTCAGACAGCTAACCAACTTTATCTATTAACTCGTAGTTGATATCCTCGATGCGCTCCTCAAAGAGGAGACGGATCTGTCCCCTCTGGAAGTATCCAAAGGCTCGCCCAAATGTGCTGTTTGCAAGACGGCAATTAAGGCCTTGCAGCATATGGTGCAACACCATGAGGACAAAGGTGAAATCACGAAGGCCTTGGGCCATGTTTGTCACAGGATGGGAAAACTGCAACATGCCTGCGAAAGTGTGGTCAACAATCATGGCGCTCAGATAGTCGATCTCATGGCAAAACATATGTCAGCTGAATTAATCTGCAAGGCGATCCACGTGTGCCACCTCTCGACTGCAAGAGACGAAGATTGTGAGTATATAGAAAATAATTTCTTTTGCCATTTATTTACCGCTTTCCGATATTCACAACTGTTTGCCAGCTGAAATTGCTGAGACAATGCTCGAGGAACAAATCGATCAGTCCGAGGCCTTGGAATTGGTTCAGTTAGCCGAGGGCCCCGTCTGCATATTTTGCGAGCTGTTCATATCCAAGTTTAAGACAAGCGTGAATTCCAAGGAGAAGCAGACTCATTTCATAAAGGAAATTCTGACCAGCTGCGATCAACTGCCCTCTATGTTCCGTAAAGAATGCCATGACATCGCCGTACGTTTTGGCCCATTAGCTTTGGATATGTTGGGCAGTGTTTCGCCACAGGAAGCATGTCGTCTAGTTCATTTCTGCTTCAGCGAGGAGGAATACAATGCATTTGTGGCGCTGGTACAGGCCAAGCTGGAGAGTTCACAGCTGGCCCAGCCGGAGCAAGGACCGATCTGCATAATATGCGAGCTGCTTGTGACTAGATTCGAGAAGCTGCTGGACACCAAAGCCAAACGGGCCCACATACTGCATTCATTTCTTGTGACCTGTGATTATATGCCCCATTTTATCCGAAATCCATGCCACAGCCTAATTTATGGCTACGGTGCCGCCGCCTTAGATCTAATTAGCAAAGTGAAGCCCGAGGATGTGTGCAATCACCTGCCGCGATGCTCCAGTCAAACGATCCAAGATAGCAATGAAAATATTGCACAATAACTTAACAATAAGATAACCAATATTCCTAATATTTCCATTAACAACATATTTTTTATACTTTCTAAATACCATGCACATATTACCTTTTTATATATATCTACACGCTTTAATAAAAAATAATCTCCTAAAAATTGAAGTATCTAATATGATTGAAATATCGGGCAATTGGATGGAGTCCTTGTTATTTTTTACCAGTTCACAGAAAATTTGCGAGAGCTGTTTTTTGAATGTCTGCGATATATTTGATATTCCCTCTCTATAATGATACTGTTAGGGCTGTTCATTCTAACTGACAGAATCTTAATGTCTCATCGATCCCAATATTAGGGATGTACCATGCTTAGCAAAGTCTGCGTAACTTGAAAATTTCTTTTAAATAATGCACTTTCCGGAGATATCTCTTTTGCGAACACACTTAGCGTAGCCTATAAATATTTGAATATGAATATTTTCACTATTTCTAGATGACTTTCTTAGACTTACAAAATAAAACTGAACTTTAATTAAATTTTCGTTACGCTTAACAATTTATTTTAACATAGGTTATATTATTTTACACAACTTTTTTCGTATTATAAAAAATGACTTAATTTTAAAATTAAAAACTAATTTAGCTAGACGACGATTTAGGGTTCGATCTTTTTTAGCTTTTCAACTGCCATTTAAAATATGTATAAATTCTATTATGTAATTGTGGATGAAATTTTGTTATCTCACGCAGATAATTTGTAGCGTTCATAATTGTTAAAATATTATATAGTTGTATATACTACATTTATATATGCATACATATGTCTTGTATGTATTTATGTATATCAGTGACTTCTACTAAGGATAATTAGTGTGTTGTATATAAGTATGTTGCATGCGTGTGCAAAAACAGAACTACAAACGTATTGTACAGTACAAATGTATAAAATGGAGAAAAAAAAAATAATAATTATGTATATATAATCAGATATATAGATTAACCGCAAGTCTCGCTTGAATCTCAATTCACAAAGTAAACGTAAAAAATTAACGAATTAGTATTAGGCATTAGCAGATATAGCGACCTGACAAAGTCATCTAAATTTAATCATCTGCTACCAGAATTTGCAATATTAGCACGCTCCTTTTAAAAGTCCATTGCCGCTGCTTCTGCTGCTGCCTCAGTAGTCAATGCTGCTGCCGCCGTTTTGTTGCATGCGCACGGAGCGACGTCGCGTCAGAATGCGTGCTGGTCCTGCTGGTGTGCCTTCGGTGATGGCCTCCGCAATGAGTGGAACCGGTGGATCCAAAACATTTGCAGCCGTCATAGCTGCTGCGAATTCCTCGCTGGCCATGCCAGCTACCGCATTGTCCAGTACCAGGGGCGTCGGTGTGATCAGACCAAGACTCTGCTCGCCCTCCAGCTGTGAGCTGCGTCGCGTGGATATGCCGCGCAGCTTCGACTTTTTCGGTGGTAGCGTACGTGGAGCACTAACCTCACGCATGACGGGCACCGTAGCCGTCTCCTGTACGCACGTTAACGTGGCGCTCTCCTCTTCGTAGTTGCGTTTGCGCGCCAAACGCGCAGCGGCTGCTCCATTTTTGCTGCCATTGCTATTGCTGCCTTCGTCGGCTGGCATGATGAGCTCTGGGGCCACAGTCTGTTGTTCGTTGTTGTTGTTGTTGTTTCCGTTAAAATAATCAGCAGGGTGTGTTGTTGTTATTGCTGTGCTAACTGTTGTCTCCAGGCAGGCATTCTCTTCAATGGTCTCCAATTTGGGGCCGCTGCTACTGCTGCTGATGGACTGTTGAAACGGGTTGTTGTTGCTGCTTTGCCCATTTGTGGCTGGCGTCGGTGTTGTTGTCGCATTGTCAATGCTCTCCTTTGGACTGTTGCCACTGCTGGCCTGTCGAAGTTGCGTATTTTCCTTTTCTAGCGTCTGTATGCGATCACGCGTTGTCTTTAATTCTTGCTGCAAAAACAATATAGTGCTTTGCATGCCCTCCACATCCTCATCGATCTCCTGCAGAAAGTCATCGAGCTCTGTGAACAAAAACACATGTTCATATATCTATATATAGTGCTGTTCAATGGATTATAATACCTGACTGAGATTTCTTGACCTCCTCGCTAAAGCTTTTTTGCATTGCCAATTCAGTCTCTAGCTTTGCTAGTCGCCCATTGGATGTCATCTTGCCCAGCTCTTCGTTTTCCTGATACAATAGACGGCACTTGGCCATGAGGCGTTTACCCGTATTTGAGTCCGGCGTAAATTTCCAAGCGGAAAGTTCATTTTGCGTCTCCTCCAGCTTAGCCTTGGTGGCTTTTAGCTCCTTTTTGAGACGCTCAAAGAGCAAATTTACAGCCGGATCGAGTAGAGCCGTGCGCAAGGCTAAGGCTGTGGGCGCCTGCTGTGCCTTGTACTCCGCAATTTGACTCTGTGTTGGAGTGTAAAAGTGTACATATGAGTACCCCTAGTGCCATTGTCAGATGTACTCAAAAATTACCACATAATCCTGAAACTCTTGCTCTTTGTTGGCCAGACGCCGCATGAGAATCTTTTCGCGTCGCTGTGCGTCGGCGCATTGCAGTCCCAGACGCGTCTGCTCCAACTTGAGGCTCTCGATTTCATCTGAAGGGACGAACGCACGAATTAGAGATTAAAGCAAAACAGAGATAGAGTGTTAGTAAACGTCACAGCACCCAGGACACAGGGCTGTAGTCAACAATCGATCGAGTAGAATAAAAAGCAGCAAACAGCAAACGCAATGGTCAGTGGGCGGCGAGGCAGACATCAGCAGATGCTTCCCCACCGCCACGATACAAATTTACAAGTTCTTTAAGGGCAATATATATAGTACTTGGTTGCACAACCTGGTGTGTTGTGAATACTGGTTGTAGTTTGTAGGTAGATACATAATTTTTTTTTTTTTTTTGTAAAAGAATTTTTATATATTTTTTTTTGTTTGTAATTGAACTTAATACGAAATCATACCAATGCGTTGCAATCATTCGTGTAAGTTCGTGACATTATTTTGCGCTGTTGTTGCGGCTGTTGTTGTTGCGCTCTCGCTGTTGTTGTTGTAGCTGCTGTTGTTGTCGTAGTTGCTGCTGCTGCTACCGCTGCTGTCGTCGGATTTGGTTGTTGCCACGAACGTTGCACTTGCACACGTTATTTCTTGCACTAATTTTTGCTTCGAGATTGCGAGGCTCATGAGATTTGCCTCAACATTTGCTCAACACTTGCTTGCACTTTTATATTGCTTGCTTAATTTAACATTTGCATTTGCATTTGCATTTGATTTTGCTTTTGCTTATTGCTTGCTTTATAGAGAAGACACACTGTGGAAACAACAAACGTTTTGAAAATTTTGTTGCAAAACTGAAAAATATTTAGAAAAACACTTGCAAAAAACTCGACGCGCGCACTTTGCTTTCAAAAAGCTCATACAAACATCAACATCAACATTATTTTCTGGCATTTTCGAACACTCTTTTTTCTCTCGTTAGCTCAGAAGCTCTCATAACAAAGTTCAACGACTTTCATTTCATTTCATATTTTTCTTGTGCAAACTCACAAGTTATTATTTATATGCATTTATTTCTTATATTTATTTATATATATATATATGCATAAATTGCTATTTAGCTGCGGTAATTACGTTTTATTTTCGTGTTATTTCTGCGTACGCAAACAAACCGAGCGCCGTTATAACGTGTGCGTGTGAGTGTAAGCGTGTGTAAATCCATTTGTTTGTCGTGTGCGAGCTTGTGTTTGTGTGTGTTTGTGTTAATTGACAAACGCAAACAACAGTTTGGCCTATATGCTAATCAGGGATGGAGCACTAAATGTATTACCCAGCACTGTTCTTTTTTTGGAATGTTATTTTAAGCTCCTTGATTAAACATTTCCATTAAATAAAATACTGTGTATGGAGATAACTCGTTAAAGCTGTTCGTGTTCTTACAAGAATCGAATTTTCAATCTGATTTGCAATATATGTATAACAAATGTTTATCCAGCCCTGACATATAAACCATTAAATAACAGGGGACAATTAAACAATTAACTACATCAACACAGACGCCTGTCTGGGCAAAACGATTTTAATGCCTTTTTTGCCCTACAATAAATTTGATTCGACATATGTATTATCTTATCTCTCGCTGGAAAAATCAACAAAAACTCGCACACACACACACACACACGAACACACGATAATTTAGCCCGCGCTTTGTTGCGTTATTTATTTATTTATTTGTACGTATTCAATTTCTTTTGTGAAATTTTGGTATCGATTTATTGTGTTATTTATTTATATATATTCAATTGATTTTGTGGAATTTTGTGTAGATTTATTTTGTTATTTATTTATTTATATATATATATATATATATATATATATATTATGAATAATTTTGTGAATTTTTGTATTGGCTTTTTTAGTTCATTTGGGCCATTATTTGCATTACATTCTTAACACTGGCAAAGTTCTTGGCTTGATAACACAAAAACTGAAGAGAAATATTTTTGTAATTTCTATATTTTAAAATATATATGTTTTATATACATTATATACCATTTTATGCACTCTTTCATCATTTGATTTATTTATTTTTTCATGTTTTATTTTTTTAGCTTTAGCTCATTTGTTGCGTGGAGAATTTAAGCCGTGTAAACAGTGTTGGAGCGTGACAAAAGGGGGGCATCGAAAGGCAGTGGGAATGAAATAGGGGGAGGCATAGAGAAAGAGAGAGAGAGAAAAGGTGAGCAGGGCAAAAAGGGGAGGGGCACGAGCGCGCAGGGGCACGTAGACAAAACGACAACGTGAGCAACGTTGGCAACGAAATTGGCCAAAAAAACGAAAAACTGTACACACGGCAGAAACTCTTGAGACGACGACGAGGGCGAAGACGAAGGCGAAGACGTAGACGAAGTAGAGAAATTTGATCAACTTTTGGCATTTTGTACACTTGTTACACACAATTTTGCTTAAATACTGTTCATATTTGTGATTATGCATTTATATTATGCACACATATATTTAGCTATCTTTTTTTTTTTTTTAACTGTTCTTTGCACACAACACTTTGCAACACTTTTTTTTTTTAATTTTTTATTAATGCATTGATTTGCTATGATTGCTTTATATTATTTAGATAAATTAGTTCGATTTGCACACACTGGTGAAGGTTAAACACTTGCTGTTTCTTTTGATTATTAGAATAAGAAATAACTTATTAACTAAACAAAACGCTGAAAGTCTTCAAAGAGTGTTCGCTTCAATTATCAAAAGTTCGATTTTGTATAAACCAAAAAACAAGGCACACGTGGAGTTCTTTTTTGTTTTAGTGTTTTTCATATAAAACGCATTTTTGCACAAAAATAACTCAAACTTAGGCCATGGAAATGCCTTACAAAAATGCAACAACCTCTCATCAAATGTTTAAGGTGCGCGAAATAACAAAACATATTCGTATTTTTATTTTTTTTTTTTTTTGTGATACACAAACTGTTATTTACGCACCTTAAACACATTTGCAAATTGAACATTTTGATAAAAAAAAAAAAAAATCGGAAACTAAACAAATTATACAATTTACACAAATGTACACTGTTTGTTGTTGTTTGTTTTCTTGTTTTCGTTTACATACCAGATATATATAAATATATATCATTTCATATATATCTACATATATATATATATATATTTATATATTATACAGCATGTATATATAATATGCTTACAATTTGCTTTGCATATTTATGCGTAAATAATAATTTAATACCTTCGAGCAAACGACGCTGTTCTGCTGCGGCGGCAGCTTCGGCAACAGCGGCATCATGTTGTTGTTGTTGTTGTTGCTGCTGTTGCTGCTGCGGTTGTTGTTGTTGTTGTTGCTGTTCTGGTTGTGGGTGATGGTGGTGTCGATGCTGTTGTTGCTGCTGTTGCTGTTGCTGTTGCTCCTGTGTTTGTTGCGCTTGCGTTGATGTCGTATGATGATGATGATGATGGTGATGATGATGATGCGGCTGCTGCTGCTGTTGCTGCTGCGACGTTGGCAACTCTTCGAAGCCAGACGGCGTCGGCGATGCCGGGCCAGACGGGCCCATATTATTAACTGCGCCAACACCAGCGCTACCCCCACCAACACCACCAGCAGCCACGCCGCCGGTGCCGCTATTGCTGTTGCTGTTGCTGTTACTGTTGCTGTTGCTATTGCTGCTATTGTTGCTGATCATGTGCAAATTTTGATCATATTTTGTAGACATTTTATCGTAACTGTTCATCAAGGGTCTCTGATCGTCCATAGTCATTGCAGCGACACTCATAACTCAATAAAAAGCTCTAGTTGGTCCTTTGCTTTCCTCGATTTTCATATGGCATGTACACACTGGAACCAAACACACAAAAAACTCGCTGCTCGCGATGCTCACTGCCAGCGGAGCACCTTTTACGCTCTCGCACACGCACGCTTTATATGTGTGTGGGCCTGCCTGCCTGCTCACCAATACCAATGCTAAACTATGCTGTAGACGACGCGAGGCAAGCGAAAATTTTTTTTGTATTTTCGTTGCTACTTTTCAGTGGCAAAATTTGCGTACTTTTTGCGTATTTTCAGCGTTGAATTATTGATTAATTGCTATATTGTTCATTTATGCGCACTTTATCAATATTTTTATATGGTTTAAATCACTTTTATTACGTTTATTTAATAAATTCTCTTGGAGCCGTCGATATCATTAGTTAGCTAAAAACGTATGGTCAGCGTTGCCATATGGTCGTCAAGTCAAATTCAATATGGTGGACAAGCACGCGATATAATACCAAAAATAAATGGTCACCCCAATCCAAGAATAACCGCAGCTGGCCACCAATCTGAGCTCGCATTGTTTACGTTTCTTCAAGAAGAAGACATTTTCTGGTAGCCCTGGTTTATTTTGCAAATTACATAAAAGTCTGCGGCCAACGACAAAATGTTGCGACAAATTGCTGGACCAACGTTTGCCAAGTTGCTGCGTGCAACAACCAGCCCAGCGAATGCCTCAGCTACTCAAGCTGCATTCGGCGGCTCGTTCGGCACCGTCCTGGCACGCCAGCAGCAGACCATGCCTGTTGTCGACTCTGGCAATACTCTGCCAAAGAAGGGTTACTCGCCTTTTGGCACCAAGCAGGCCAGCATGGCCGAGTGGTCAATGGCGAGATTAGACGATCTGCTTAACTGGGGTCGCAAAGGTTCCATCTGGCCGCTTACCTTCGGCCTGGCTTGTTGCGCCGTCGAAATGATGCACATTGCAGCCCCACGGTAAATATTATTCCAATGGCATACACATCAATAAACATCATTATCCATTCCAGATATGATATGGATCGATACGGCGTTGTGTTCCGTGCGTCCCCACGTCAAGCTGATGTTATCATCGTAGCTGGCACGCTGACAAACAAAATGGCACCAGCTCTGCGCAAGGTCTACGACCAAATGCCCGAACCCCGCTGGGTCATCTCAATGGGCAGCTGCGCCAACGGCGGTGGCTACTACCACTACTCGTACTCGGTTGTGCGAGGCTGCGATCGTATAATACCTGTCGATATCTATGTGCCTGGCTGCCCTCCCACTGCGGAGGCGCTCTTGTATGGCGTCCTGCAGCTGCAAAAGAAGGTGAAGCGCATGAGGACGTTGCAGATGTGGTACAGAAAGTAAAGAGATAGTCTCCAGTTAAATAAGCAAAAAGTGTTAAATAAATATTGTATGCAAATATAGGCAATAGCAACAACGTTTTTCTAGCATATGTATTCTATTTAGTTCTTTTCTATAAAAATGCTATTTAATTTCTTATTGCAATGTATGAATTGTTTATAATATTGTATAGATTTTGTGACGTCAGCGGCAGTAAAATACTACCTGTTACAAAAACGTACCAATACATTGACGAGCGTTGCCAGATCGATTATTTTTAATAATAAACAAATACAGCTGTGTGATGGCCGATTTCCCCGAAAATCTACAAGTAATTAAATTGGAACCACCAGGAACGCCGGAAAAGTCGAACATCAAGGAGCGTCTAAACCTGCACGTAAAGCGACGCTTGCAACAGGATCTGCCCGTTTCCAGCCCAGAAACACCACCTGGGGACACAGTTGCAGGCACTTCTAGCAAACGCTGCAAGGCAACTCCAGCACAGTCCAAAGAAGGGCAAAAACAACGCAAGCCCTATCAAAAGCGTGTGGAAAAGATCAAAACAGAGACGAGCAAATGCAAAAAAGGTAATTTGATATATTTAACTAGAAAATCGCATATGACCAACAAGAATTGCAGCACAAACTGCCAGCCCTGCAGCGGATTTGGAGGCATTCGACGAGTCAGCGGATCATGAGGCATCGCCAGAAAGGTCGGATGCCAAAAACATAGGCCGTGATCGCTACAAGAATGCTGATATACTCAACATAGTATTGAGTGAAAAGAAACGAGCGCTAATGCAAAATGCGGAGGTGCAATCATTTTGGTCGAAAATTATGTCAGCCCTGAAGAACTGAATTTATTTTTCATTGATGTGGCAATACTGGTTGCATTTATGGCGCGCATCGATACGAAGTTCATAAAATTCAAATAACAAAACGAGTTACTTTAAGGTTACAGCTTAAGTGTTGTTAATTATACGATTTTATTAGGTAAAATAATTTAGTTTTTTTTTTTTTACTATTACATTGAACCCATTAGCATTTGAATACTGCGCACGCTCGCTGCTGCGGCTGCTGCTTCCGCCGCCGCCGCCGACGGCTGACAGCTGCAAAATTTTGCAGAGCCGCTCAGAAAGCAATTTGACGTTTTTGGGGTTGCAACGTTTTGCGTCGCGTAATCGCAGTGATTTAGCGTCTCCGTATCGAAAAGAATACCACAATTTGATAACGAGTTCAAAGTGTGTGTTCGAGCAAAGGTAGTTGCAAAGTGTGATTAAATAATTGCCGTGTCTGACTAAAGCTTTGAGCGTAATATACAATTGACAATAATTGGCAATTGAGCCATGTTAGATAATCCCGTTTGGGGTTTGTGTGGCGCGTTTGTTATCGATTTAACTATTCTTGTTTTTTTTTTTTTTTGCTTGCCTTTTGCACTTCTCCCGTGTCCTTTTAGGGCGCGCATTCTCACGCTCACGCTCACACTCTCTGCCGCCTTGCGCGACTCTTGTGCTCTGGCTCTCTTGCTAAGCGCTTTGGCATGTTGCTACGTCCTTGCCTTGTCCACAAATTTGCGCTCAAATCGACCGACCGACCGACCGACCAGACCGCCCACCCACCACCAGCCACCCACTGAGCCCTTTTCGGCTGCTTTTCACTTTCGTGCGCTTCCATTTCCATTTGGCATCAGCTACAATAGGCCATTCCTGCTCAACGGCTCTTGCAACGGCGCCAACTTGCCACAGTCATCAAATATTTTCTCAATGTGCTCGCCTCTTACGTAAATAAAAAGCACACACACACGCACACACATATATATATATAAATTTAACTTAAAGCGCAGCCAATTTGAATATAAATTCCAGTCATGTGCTGGCATTATATAATATTGTGCCAAAAGTCCTGCGAGACGAAAAGTGACGCGAAAGAACAAAAGTGCAAAAAGTGATTACAAAACACTTTCGAATTTTCAGTGCACATCAAAACCACAAAAAAATGACCCAAATAAGCATAATCAAAGAGCCAAACAATTATATAAATAAAATCAAATTAACTGAAAACAATGAAAACGTGTCTAAGATATAAACAAATATCTATAATATATACAAAAGCCTAAACCAAATCTTAACCAAAAATAATAATATTCAATATCAAGTATTTGCATTCACTTTGTTTAACTTTTTGTTTAACTTTTCTAACGTTTTGCATTATACAACTAGTTTAACTGCCCCACCTGCCCTACCTTTCACACCTGCCGCAAAGCAGAACAAAAACTATTGCGTCTATTAACTTGCACCTATTTTTTTTACCTTTACTCATGCTGCACTTTCTTTTTAATGGTTAAATCAATAGCCAGAATGAAAAAGAACAGAGAAAAAAAAAGAGGAAAATGTATTCTCTTTGGCCCTTTTGCTAATTGTATGACTGTTACTATTACATAAGCGATAACTGCCCACCCCCGCCCTCCCATCACCTTTCCGAGTGGGGAAAAGCAACCAAAACATTTCCTTGCAGGAAATGCCAAAAGTCTGAGAAACGGAGACACATGCCATGCCAGCACATATACAGGATAACTGGGAACAGAAGTAGGTCAGTTATTGAATTTTCCCGTTCGCCCACGCAGAGTGTTGCACATACTGTTGCAACATAAATATATAACAATATTTGTGTTAGATAATGGAAAGAAGACACACTGTCGCTTGGCTGGCAACAGGACGAGTCAATTCTGTGATTGACTGCTCGACATTCGAAGCATGTCAGCGAGCCATTAGGCAGACAACAACAAGGCTGTGCGGATTGGCTGCCTGGCATGACAACGGCCCCTTTGGCTATCCTATTGATTGCCTCGGGCCAGCGGCGTTGCCTTCTGTGCCAGAGACCCAAATTTTAACTGAGCCGCAAACGAGGCGTATGCGTAATATTTGCCATTTAGTCATGCTCCGATGATATCTGCCTGTGTGTGTGTGTGTGCCAGAATGGTGCCTCCTATGGCTTCCTTCAGTGCATTGCACTTTCCTGATTACGTATACGACTTGTGCCACTGTTGGGGCTCACACGGGCAGACTCCTTCTACCATCTGTGGTCCGCTGGCGCTGGCAGCCGCAGCTGGAAGCCGCACACTTCAAGCTGTGCTCTGATCATTTAGAGGGCAATCATGTGTTTACGGCTGAGTGGCCTTTTGACATTTATTGCACGTGCATCTGCATTTAGTTGTGTTCTTTTTTTTTGTTCGCCTGTTCATCATCTAAAAGAACTTCTTATAAATAAAAAGATATAAGTCACAATTTTTATCACTGCGCCTCAATTTGTATATATATTTTTTAAATATTTTCCATTCAAGAAACCATAAAATTGTTATAGCATAAAATATATCTTTTGGGTAAACTAAGCGACCCAACAGCATGGAGTGTCTATGCCAATTAAACCCCTTCCCCCCACCAGCCCCCTAGCACACCTGGTCTCAAAGCACCGTTATATATGGGTTGGGTTTATTGCACACGGGGAAAATCAATTGCAAGCCAGTGGCTGGCTGCCTATGCTGGGTGGATGACACATAGGAAACATAAAAGCAGCAGCAACAACAACAACAACAACAACAGCAACAGCGAGAAGAGCAGCAATCATTGCAATCCAATTAAATGGCCGCTTGACTGCTGCTTGTCGCCGAGTCGAACTGAGCATTGAGTGAGAATTGCTTGATTTGCACTCAGTTTTAGATTCCACAAACTTGTGTTCCACTAATTGGGTCGTGTGCACGTCATCACAGCTGCAGCGCCTCAGCTCACTCTTACTCTCAATTGGAGCAGCATCGCACGCGCTCGCTCTCTCTCTCTCTTGCGCTGCGCTGCATTGCGCCGCTGCGCTCACCAAATGCCCTGCAGTGCAACTCTATTCTGCCCTCGCCGCCCCCGCCCGCAGCTTACTGTAACAGTTTTGCCTATTTTTGAAAAAAATGCGGCCCACTTTTGCGTTTGCTGTTTTTCCTTTCCACACACAGTTCTATTTATTTTTGTCAACTGATTTTCGTTGAGCCGAAAGGTTGAGTCTTAAGTTTATTCACTTTAAAGTGTTGAGCAAAGTTATTATATTATTAAAT